AGCTCCCGGGCGCCGCGCTGCTCCGCGGAGGTCGGCCCCTGGCCTTCGCGGCCGCCGCGAAGGCCGCGGCGGGCAAGGCGCTGCTGGGCGGTCTGGCGGAAAGCGGCCGGGGGGTTGGGGTTGGAATGGGGGGGGGTGAGGGGACGATGGGCGTAGAGGCGATTTTGGGGACCCCATATGAATCAAGCCAATCGCTGGTTTGTTCATGAGCCGGGCTGTCCCTGGCCCAGTTGGGTTTGGATTGGCAGCTTGGAGTTGGATTCGGACCCGCTGGTTCTTGTAGAGGATAGATTTAAAACACCACCCCACTCAACACTAAACCAGCAATCCAAGCCACCAACTAGGGGGAAGCTGATTGGGTGTTGTGTGTGTGTGTGTGTTTTTGAGGGAACCACTTTTCGGTAGGTCTCAAAGGAAAACCGAAAGTAAAACTGCACATGTTTGGTGGCCTTGTAGGAGAACCCTTGAAAACCAAGACCTCAAACAAAGAGGTTGCAAAATGGACTCTCAGTGTCCACCGTACTCAGTGGTGCCCATTCTTCATTTTGTGAAGGGGGTTCCCTTTGTCAACAAAGAACGAGTGCCCTTTTTTCCCATGACCACCGGGGTCTGGGTTTAGCCCAGAGCCCTACCAAAGAGATAACACCAAGACTTGAAAGGGGGTTCCACCAGGCACACCAACCAGCAGGAGGGGTTTGGCAGGGATCCCTTGATGCGCACTATCAGCATTCATCACAAAGAGACTATCCCAGTTGTTCAGTGGCACCCTAGTGAACGTGCATGAGACTCGGTTGTTTTTGGCTGTGTTCCATGCATGGGTTTCTTGTCGGGGGGTGGGTTTTGGGTTCCTTGTCGGGGTTCGGGCGCGCCCTCTGTATGTGTTTTTGGCTGTGTTTCATGCCATGTTTAGACTCGAATTGGGGGAGGGGATTCTCATTGGCAAGCCATTCTCCCTGAGTCAGGCCTAGCGTCATAGAGTCGGCAGGGGAGCCAGGAAAACTGAATCCATTTTGGGAGGTCCAAGAAAAGACAATCCTGGACCCTCAAACTATACCCTTATAAACATATACCCCTGCCAAGGTTCCGACAACCACCACTTGGTGGTGCTAGACGCAGCCAATCGCAGGCGACAGCTCCCGCGTCAGCTTGGGTGGTCGGGTGGGGGGGCGGGAAGGTTTGTGAGGCTCGGTACCCTTTTTGGGGGTTTGGTTTGAAGGGTTCTGCAAGGGAAACAGCACGATTTTGGGCTGTGGGGGGCATCTCATCTTATCATGGCTCGATGGCAAACGCACTTCCCAATTACTTATTCCGACCTTATTTTTCCTTATTAGCTCTTTCTGCTCACCAGCAATCAGCAATGCCTCACACTTGTCGAGCCTTCCCCTGGTGTCCTGCCCCTAAGTACGAGCGGAGAGAGGCTGCGGCTTGATGGCAGAAGGAATTCCAGAAGGCGGCGTGGGCTCCTTTGGACGCCGTCAAAACCAACGGCCTTCACCACTGGCAAGTCCGCGACAGGGACCGCGTGTTCCGTGCCTTTGTGAAAATGCCTCAAGAAACAAGGATGCTGGACATGTCCTCTTGGTCTTTTCGCATTTTCACCACGTCTTCTTTGGAACCGGTGGGTTCTGAACTTCATCTCCATACCTTGTCCCTTGAACGCTATTTTCGCGTTAGAAGTTGAGGTAGTGTTCGCCCAGTTTGTCACCTTTTCAAACCCGAACAAATAAGACATAATGAATCTGAGCATGTAATATCAACAATACACATCAGCAAAAATAACATATGCTATGACAACAGTGATGATGCATTTTAGAGGGGAACCTTCACTGGTGGCGGGAGTATTAATCCGGGTCAACGCAAACTTGAGAAACTCTTGAAACCATGTAAACCAAACAGCAGACAAAACAGAATAGTTTATGTTGCTTCCCCTTTTGGCTTCCAATGGCGACCAGCCGTTTGGGTGCACACAAACTGACCCACATCCCGAAGTGCCAAGGGAGCCCTCGGACGGAGGGAGCAATCCAGCTGATTCCGTCTTTTGATGATGGACGTAAACCTGGTTTCCCCTTTGGGGGCATCAACCAGCTGGAGTCTGCTTCAACCAGCTGGAGTCTTCTTCACAACTGTTTTTCTTTTAGGGTATTATATACAAGTCTATCTCAGCAGAGCGCGTGGAGTGAACGCAACACATGTACCATTTTTTCGTGGGCCAGGAGCTTGCTCTTCCGGGGATGGCATGGCACTGAGTACTTGGATCGGCAGGTTGCTGTCAGTGCCGCAGCTGAGCCACGGGGGAGAACTGCAGGCCGGGATGTATGTTTGTTTTTGGAAAAATGGGGGCGTGTAACTTCATGTTGACCCCATATTAGTCAACCATCACTATTGGAGGGGAACACCCCCTATTCATGAACTGGGGTTGATGAATTTGGGGTCAACATCAACCGCAACCAAGCAGATAACCCTTGCTTTGGATTGGCTCGCTGGTTCTTGGGCAAAAGGGGAACCACCCCCGCTCCGCCCGTTTTGACCTCCAAACCACCGGGCACCCAAGGGAAGCTGAACCAAAGGCACGACACCTCTTGAAATTAAAGCACGCCCAAGCCTCCAGCGGTGCCGAGTTTGTCCCGTTCTTTTTTGGAGGAGGGAGCCTCTTTTTAAGTCAAGTACCGATGAGACAGTCATTTGATCTCGTTTCTGACTTCTTAAGTGCCAAAGCCAGTGTTTCCAGGCAAGCCACGGGAAACCATTTGTGGTGTAAAACTCTCTATAAACCCTAGTTGGAGGTAAGAATCCCGAAGGGTTACCTGCTATAGTGGCAAAATGCTTGGAAGCACTGGCGTATTATAGCCATAAGGTATGTCATAAAATAGGACGGGAATGGGAACCCCCCCCAAAAGAAGAAGTTATTTTCCCCAACAACATGTGCTTTTCCTTCTGTCTTCCCTTTAAACCCACAAGAAGTGGCCAAACCAATTGTGTGTTTTTTTGCAATCGAGGCGCTGTGTTGCCACCCGGACCCCCAGCTGCAGCTGTTGGCCAGTGGGGGCACAGACGCGCCTCGGCCGAGACCCTCGCTACAAGTCAGTGTTCCCAAAAAGGGGCCTGCGTCTTCTGGGTGGGAGGGGGCCAGGGACTCGTGCTATAATACAGGGGTGTTTCCCCCCAAGAGTGATCCAGATTCTGTCTTATCGATCACCCCCTATTAATCTTGGGTTCCCACTACGGAATACTTTTGAGGGTGTGATGTCATATCCACTGCCAGTGAGGGTGTCACGTTGGTTCCCGACCTCTTTCAATTCTTTGCTCGAGAGCTGAGGGAACCAGCCAGATTGCCCGGGACTGGAACCCATGGTACATCTCAGATACGGCTTTGTCTCCAAGGGAGTCGGACCCCGAAAATGGAAGGGTTTTCCGTACGGTTGCTCTTTAAAGCCACCCCAAAAGAGGTACCGCCTTTACAATGGGGCAAGGTACGTCAGGGAAGTGGATAGTGGCCATGGTTAAGGCCACTTTTCAGGGTTCGCATAATTCCCTTTTTGGCTGCTGTTACATGGCCTTTTGGGCCAACTTTAGGTGATCTTTCGTAGAGTGTGGCTTCGTCGGGACATACAACCCCCGCCAATTTGGGGTTGTTTGTTCTGACTACGTGCTGACTCGCTGGCTAAGCACCGCTCGTGGTCGTATCTCTAAGAGAACGCAGGGTCGAAGGCAAGTTTGACTGAAGACAGCTGAGCGTGGTTTCCATGCAGCTGTTCCCCTTTTGCTGTTTGCGTTCCAGGCAAATAGCCCATGACTTAAATTTCCCCCACAGGAAACTAGATGGGGATGGATTTGTTCATTTGTTTCGAGACCCAGGATCAATACAGCGGGAGTCCTTCGATTGTTTGGCAAATCCCCCGCACAGCCCATCAGATTGCTTACTTTGCGGCCATTATTTAGCACCCAGAGAGGTCTTCTGGCTTCAGACACACAAGGGATCCTTGCATCAGCTTCCATTAGCTTGAGAATCCCGTTAGCTTGAGAATCCCGTGTTGGCTTTAAAAGGGAATCTATCACTACTGGACGTGTTTTTGCCAGGGACTTCAGCACTAGTGTATAACCTGCAGACAAGTTCCGCCCAACCAGGCCGTCCACACAAACACACACCGAACACCCTTGGAAGCTCAGGCGTGCATCAGATTTTGGGATGCCAAAGAGCACGTTCCCGTGGCCGCTTGGCAAGCAAGGGTGGAAAAGCCATAGTGGCTTGCTGGTTGGTGCCTTCCCTTGTTGTATCGGTGTCCCACTGAAACATTGCTCATAGAGTTATCGCAAACTGTGGCCAACCCGCCTGGTTTCCTTTGAAGGCCGGGGTCAGGATGTGCTCTAAAATGTGACGCCCTCCCTGTCCGTCAACCAAGGTTTTTTCCTCAACAGCTGAAAGCTTTGGGTTCTTTGCCCAAATCAGTATTGAGGTGGTTCGCGGCAGCTTTCAGGGAGGGTTTTGGAACCCCGTTCCGGGCTGGTTTCCCATTCGTCAACTGGATTCTGAGTAACTGGGCTGTTCAAAGGCAATCCCTGCTTGGGTTACGAAAGGCGCCCCTTTTCGGAGTGGTTCGGGTTGCTGGGATTCCGGGCTGAATCCATGGGCTGCCTCCCCATGCGAATGCTGCACTGGGAATTGAAATCGAAACGAGTGGCGTTAAGCTTTAATCATCATAAGATCAGAAGATTCATAAAGTCACAACAGGATCCTTGCTCTTTCAAGACCCTGAAACACGCTGGCCGATCCTTTGTTTGAACCAAGAGTAGCATCCGGAAGGACCTGGTTTTTCAGGGTTTTTGGAAGGCCAAGGGACAATACTAGCAATGTGTGCAAACATTCGGACCCTTATGCTAGGGGACCCGGCCGGTGCTGCAGGTGGGACGCATTTTGGACTTTGCAACTTCGCGGAATGGAGCACCGCAGCTTGCCGCACATCTTCGCGGGGACAACGAAGCGTTCGACAGACGTTGTGTTTGAGGGTGACCCTTTTCACTTTAAAGGGAAGCCGCAAGGAGCAAACACTGAGGGGTTTGGATTGGCGGGATTGGAACTTCTGGTTGTGGAGGCCTCCAAATCACGAACTTCCACCAACTCTAGGGAAGCTGGTTTGGGTTCCACTTCCTTCCCTCCTGGAACGAATTGGGGGCTCGTTTGGATGTCGATTGAATGGAAATCCAAATTCCCCTGCCAAAAATAGAGGCCAATTCGAGAAAAAATCCTTAGGACAGCCCCAAGAAAAGCAACCGGAAACTTGAAATATTTGGCTGCCCTGAAGGAAACTAACAGTTCGAGTGAGCAACGATTCGTTACCGCATGAATGTTAAACTGCGGCACACCCATTTCCTGTTTGAAGCCTTCTTAGGTGTGCCCGAACTGTTGCTCACCCAGAACCTTGTACAGGAATGGCTGTCAAATGAGGCTCATAGGCCAAAGGAGTCACTAAACCATTTGACAGCCGTTCATGGGGCTCTCCTGCAGATTAAAGTGGAACCCCGAAATCCCTTGTAGTAGAGTTGGGAAATGAACCCCATTCCAAGTTCCATGTTAATTTGCAGAGTCGTCTATTTGCCTATAGGAATATGTGCTATTTTCCCATTTGGTCTGAAAGAGAATCCATTACGCAAATGGAAGAAGCTTCACTAAACCAATTTGTAGAGGAAGCCATCAGAAGTGGATCCCATTCAAAGTTCCACGTGGCTATGAATTGTATTAGGGGACCACCTCAATAGAGGTTGGTGGACATGAGTCGCCCCCCCCCCCCCCGAATTCGGATGTCCACCAACGGGTCCCTGGTTAAACTTAACGCCCATCCCCGTGTTTGCGGTCACTATAGTTGGCAGCCAGGGGAAGCCATCATGTAAGACCTGGTAAGAAACTGATTCGGGTTTGACAAAAAATGCGAAAACGCCTGGAGGCACTGGGCATTTGAGGCCGGGGGTCTACTCCTTGGGCTTTTCCCCCTCCGGCGCTTCCCTGGCCGCTGGCTTGGGGGACGGCAAGCTGCAGTGGCTACGCTTCCCGCAGCTGCAAGGCGCCAAGTTCCAAAGTCCGCCTTAGCGACTGGGGACCGGTCCTTTTGTACTTTGCCTTTTGTTGTGGGAGTTTTTTGTTGGTGTGGTTTTAGTTGTTGGTTCTGTTTTTGTTTCGGTTTCTTTGCTTTTTGTTCTTTGGGGCAGGGTGTCGAATGAAAGCACGGCACCGGCCCTCCACAGCCAAGAGCAGGTCACCCAACTTCGGTCTTGGTGCCGAGAGCCCAGAAGTGATGGACCAAACTGAATTACAGCCAGCGCCCTCCAAGTCACTTCTTGAATTCCTAGACTTTGTCATTGTATACTTTGTGGGTTGGGACCATTTTAGTGGCAAGCAAAAAGTGTGGACCGCTTTTGGGCCAATTTCTCAGGAAGTGAGCCAACGGCAGCTTCTTGGCTATGTCCAAAACCCGTTCTTTGCAAAGAAAACCTGTAAAAGGGCCTGACTCGCCTGCGCCCGCCGGATCTCGTCAGTGCAGCTCTTCTTTTGTTTTTTTCAGAAGTAAGCGGCAAATAATCTGCGAAAGGAAGCCCCTTGGATGGTTCAGTTCGGGGCTTTCCAACCCATGCTTTCAGAACCAGCAAGCATATTGCTTGTTCTGAGTGACTCATTGGGTCTTCGGAACGAACCTACAGAACCCCTGCACTGGCGTCTCATATACAGCAGAATCAGAACATGTTTTTTGTTGCCCCTGTGGGCCAAGGAACTTGCCGTTGGGACTCAGGGATTGACAAATGACCCCTGTGAGCCATTCCTCGTGGTTTCCAGTTCGTTCCCAAATTGAAATTCCCAACTGAGAGCCAGCAAGTATGCTCAAAATTACAAAGGGGGCCTTAAACTATGTCGGGGAGCTCCCAATTTTCCTCAGGTTTCCTTTTGGCTTCCTTAAAAGAAGGTGCCCTCGGAAAAGGAACCGCGAGCTGTTCGCCTTTTCGGGCCACGCAGCTCGCAGGCAGCGCCTGCAGCTTGGGGAAGGAGAGGCTCAGTGCGCTCTGCTTTGTGGAGGCCGCTTGCGTGGGCGGTTCTGTTTTTCACTCCGGTCCCCGAGTTCTGTGGTTCCTGAGTTCCTTTTTGGGGGACAAAAAATAGTGCAAGTTTGCAGACCTTTGCTGGCCAATATGCAAACTTAAGTCTTGTTTGCGTTTCTGTTTGATTCTGATAGAAAAGTAAACATCTCCTGAAATAGGCTTCTTTGGCTTTGTGCGTGTGTGTTTCTTTTGGAGGGGCAGGGGACTGGGCACTATCTATACATGCAAACGTCGGTTTCCCCCGTAGGTTTTCTGATTCTGCATCGAGCTCGGGCCAAGAGATTGTATGGTGCTTCAGGGAAGGTACGTTTTTAGTTTTGTAGCGACCTGACTTCCTGAGTTCCATTTCGGACTTTAGGAGCTTTTTGGGAAAACGATTGTAGGCTTTGTTTGTGACAATCGCACACCAGTATTGGAACGTTGTTTGGCTTTGGGAGCAACCTCCCCCCCCACCCAAATGCTTTCAGGATGGCACTATCATTGAAACCAACTGAAGATCCACCTCATGTTGAGCCTTTTGACCACCCGCCTTTGGGGTTTTGGATGGGGATTGCCTTAGAGATGTGCGGTCCTCCGACCTGTGGGTTGCTTTCTTTTTGCCATTTCTTTTGATCAAGCTCTTTCAACATCAACTATCAAGACAGGGAGTTGTGCTTCTGCCCAAACCTCTCAATCAATCTATCAGCTAGTTTCAATGATTCTCCTACTTGGATGTTAGGCCAAGTTGGTAAGTGGTTACAGCCTCCTAATAACAAGGTTAATCCCACCAACGGGAACTTCTGAGTGGGCAATAACCTTACTAACTTGGCAACGCACATCCAGGTAACTTGATTTTGAAGGGAACCCCCCTCTTCACCACAAAAAGTGGGTTACCAGGAATCGCACCACTAGAGCTCGAGCTTCTTTTCGCCTTCACCCGAGTGCACCCTTGGATCTTCAGACAAAAAGGGCTTGGTGGTCCGTCGCGTTCGGCGGCTTTCCGCGCCAGGAGGAGATCTTAGTTGTTGGGAGCTGGGATCAAGTCGTCTACCTGGTGAACAGCAGCCTCCGCATTTTGAGGGTGATGAAAGGCGCGGGGCACATGCAGCGTTTGTGCCGTTCGTGTTTTGGGGGGTCAGTGGAGCGAGTCTACGCTCTTCCAGTTGCGGTTCAGACTATGTTTGTTTTTCCCCGGTTGGTTTAAGGGGATTCTATGTTTGGACAAATGTTAAGATTTTCCAGGGATATAAGCGGAAGGAGGCATTTGGAGGGACCCGGTCTCAAAATTACTTCTTGGCGTGGGGGAACCCCCATTAAACCCAGCAAGTTAGAGGCTAATCTCGAGGATGTCACTTTCAAAGAAACACAGGGACCACCGGTGCCGCAACGTTTCCACTATGATGGCGTCCCTGATCTGTCAACCCCAAGAACATGCACACCTTTTGACCATTCCCCTTGTGGTCTGTTTGCGAAGGTAGCCGTTTTGCGCTTGTTTCAGGGGCAATCCAAGGGATCTACCCAGTTTTTGGGGCAGCATCCCCGTTAGCCGTAGGACATGTTTTTGGATAGGCTATGGTCCAGTTGGGAGAAACGGACATGTGGGGTACTCATGAACACTCCAACCAGTGGACGAGCTTTTGGGGAATTCTTCGTGATTTCGACCATGGCTATGAGGTCTCGGCTGCTTGAGTTACTGAACGATTGGTTGGCATCCGTTGGTCAGGGGCGAAGCGGGACCTGAGTAATGCACAATTTAGTAAAGTGCTGAAAATGATCATTCCTTACTCAGTTGCCCAGTGGCGCCCTTTTCCCATTGTTTTGGGAAGGGTTCCCCTTTAAACTCAACGAACGTAAGTGAGAACAGTGGTGAGTTTAAACATGAAAAGGGGGTTGGCTCCACCTGAGTCGACTGTGTTTTTTGGCATGGTCGAAATTCCCTTTTTCTCAACACCGTTTGCCTGGTTTTCTGAGGGTCTCAGGGCCGTCGGGTCTTTTGTGGAAGGGGCAGGGGGGTGAACTCTCACTCCTGGTTCTCATGGACTTTAACATTTTTTTGGGAAGACCATTTCAGTGGCAAATACACAGTTGTTGTTTTTTTTGGGCCAATCCACTGAGGAAGTGAGAAGGGGGGTTGGACTCTAATTCACAGGCTTGACTTGCCCTCAGGCAATTCCAGCTCGGTGACCCACATGCAGATCACGGCGGACCGGACACTCGACGAATTGATTTCTGCCCTTCACGAGTGATTCAACCGCTGCGGGGGCGAAGCCAAGTGGTTTTTGGGCGTGATCCATAAAGTGTTGCACACTTTGTGGGGGATCACTCGCTGTGAGTTTCGACTCAACCATCTTTGGAAATCCCGTGGTAAAAATGGCATTTTCCTAAGGACCTTCCTCATGACCAACTCCAAGGATGGCCAGGCCAGAAAGTGAACTGCGACGGCTGGTGAACAAAAACATCCGGGTGGTAAGTGAGTGTGGGAGGGCACCCGTTGTGGTTTAAAGGGAAGCCAAAGGGAGAACCCCTTTTTTCTTCTTTTTTTTGGGGGGGAGGAACCCCTGTCTTGAGAAACACCCAAGCTACATGAGGGGATAAACAATTAGGATGTTTTTTTGTTTTTTGTGATCATGACTCAATTTGGTTTTAAAGTACCCCACGAACTCATTCTGATCTTGACCATACTGTATACTGGTGGATCCCCCCAACAGAGTATCAGCAGACGGGCATCTTCGTCCCAGACATATGGGACATCCTTTACATGTTTAGGTGCCAGACACAGGAACTAGCAAGTTGCATGTTCCGACCTCGCCCCCCTTGAAAGGGGTGGGGACTTTTAAGTTTGTTTTTTCACCCTCGGTTTTTGTTCTCTCTTTTTGGTTCGGGCGGGCGGCAAAGGGTTCCAAGCCTGCACAAAAGGGTAAAAAAGGACACCGAAGAGTTTCCATGTCAAAAGGGGTTCCTGTTTAGGAACCATAAAAAGGTGGTTCCAATGCTTTTTCTGCCATCACTTGGCAACCAACGGATCCAAGCCTGTTGCGCTTCCTTTGTTGCCTTAGTAAGTGACCAGGGCGGAACCTGGAGTACAACTACCTGTTGCCCACCATAGTCAATAGTGGCAACTGGACGCACCGGGTTTCCGACAAAAGGTTCCAAGTTCCAAACCCTCCAAAAAGGGGCGGGTTGGAGAGGGGGGGGGAGGGGGATTTTCTTGCAATCAGTTTGGTTATAAGTGATAACCCAACTGCTTCAAAGGCACTTCACCCTTCAGGTTCTTTTTAAAGGTGGCCTTTGGTTCTTTAGGGGGGAAGAACTAAACAGTCCAAAACCGTCCTCGTGCTTTCCCGAGGAAAAGCAGCTCCAACAATTGATTCGAAGTGGAGGGATATGAGTGCAATCTAGCAGTGCAAAGTAGACGGCAATTCTTACCTTATCCCAGAGGAAACCACAGGGGCATGGATGCGGTTGTATGTACTCATTGCAGACTCCCTATTTACCTTCCGTCCAAGAATTGTGTAAGAGGCGGTCTCACCGGCGTTCTTTTTTGAGGGTACCCTTCTTGGGGTTGGTTTAAAGGGAAACCAAGAGGAACACCTAAACAAAGACACCCCCATAGGTTCCTACATTCAGCCTCTGAGCAATTCTAGATGGTTTCCACCTACCCCAGAACAATGCCCCCAGAGACTGCTACATACCGTTCATAGAGTGGCTCTGTAGTGGTGGCAAATTTAAATTACGCCGCTGACTAGTTGATACATTCCTTCCTTTGATTTCTAATCCCTCGAAAACCTCCAAAACTTCAAACACTGCAGCAATTTTATTTTGGAGTCGCTCCGAACCGCTCCACAATCTATTTGGGCAAAGACTCACCGCTTGAGCTATTGGCGAAGAAGCCGGACCCTGCAAAACAGAGCTCCAGGCCTTTCAAAACATGGCTCCCACCCAAAAGTCGGTTCCAGCCAAAAAATATACTACCAAAACCACCACCAAAAATGGGTTCCAACCAAAGTTCAACCACCAAAACCACCAAAAACTCGGATCCAACCAAACATCAACCCTAAAACAAGCACCAAAAATCGGTTCCCAACTTTTGTGTTCCCGACCCCGCCAGGTCCTCTACTTCAACCTGGCCACCGGTGAGCGGATCACCCAGGAGACCACCCGGGACGCGTCCTGGGCCTCTTGGACCTGCCCCATGGGCTGGCCTACGCGCCTCGGCAAGAAGCTTCCGAGCTGACGCCGAGGGCTGGCATCACTGTGTTCTCCACTTTTCTGCCAAGTTAGTCAGTTGTTGGTAGCCTAGGTTTAACCAAATTGGCTAACCACTTCCTATCTTTTTTCCGAACATCCAAGCACCTCGTTGATTTCTTTCCGGGTGCCCAGGGGTTGCTTGTTTCTCGGGCAGTCTGAGGATGGGCATTTGGGGGGCCAACAAGAGCTACAGCGTGACGGACGTGAAATGCTGCCAGAACCTTCGATCCCAAGGCGCGAGCGAGCCCGAAACCCAAACCGAAACCCTGGTTGCCCCTCCTGGCCACGTTGCCATGGAACCCACCTGGGGGTCCTTTAATCCCTGTTAAAGGAACATCGCACCAAGTCAGGACCTCTCAGTCGGGTTTTCTGCCAGGGGAGGGTAGGAAGTATCGGAGAATCCCTTACAAGTCTAACTTTTAAGGGGTCAAGGCAATAAGTTGGTGGCACCCTTGATGACCACCCCCCTTGGAGATCCACAATATTTTTTTCCCCCCTCCTTTTCCAAAAGCCACTGGGAGAGCTGGAGGCGAGCTGCTGGCGATGGGCGACACCTCACACTGCGTGAAGCTTTTTCGGTTCCCGGCGCTGGGCAACGCAGGCGGCGGATGGCGCGGCTTCTTCGGCGTTCGGCTTGCGGTCGCGCGCAGCGTCACTTTAACGGGGACTAGCTGTGTCTTGTTTTGGATTCGGACCCCCCCAAAATGGTGCTGTTCCTGTTGGTGTCTCTTTAATCAAACAAAACACACACACACACACACACACAAAAGAGGCACCTTCAAAAAAGGTACCCCCACTTGTCCCTTCTGCGGAAGGTGTTGGTGACAAACAAGCAGCTTGGAATTTGTGGGCCCATCCACTCAACAAGTGAGCCTTCCGTTTTTCATGCTCTAAAGCGGTGATTTTGAAATTTTGTCCATAGCGACAGCTATGGGGGTGTCGGCAATTCCCTGGTTTTGGGTGGCCTGCCGCCAGCTGTTGGGTATTCTCCTTGGCGGTTTGAAGGGCTTGGGAAACGGTCAAAACTGAGAAGGGCTTGTCTCAACAGGCCGGTCTGGTTTGGAGAGTGGGAGCGAAGGAGACCAACAACTCCACATCCCGAATATGGGAACTTGGGAGAATTGAAGCCCCCAGAAGAGGTGACCTGGTACCTCTTTTTGAGGTAACCCTTCCAATGCTTCCCAAACCTCGCAATGCAAGGTTCATTGATGCGGGAAATACTAGGACACCGGGAATTGGATAGGTGTTTTCCTATTGCCAGACTCGCTTTGTGTTTCCAGGACCCGGTGATGTCACCTAAGGCTCCTCCCAAAACAGGGAAGCTGCGGGGTCCCAGCGTTGGACACGATTTTTGGTAGATTGCGTGGCGACTCGGTTCTTGGTGTGACCAAATCGTCCCAAGGCCTTTTGGAATCAAGTGGCTTCCGTTCAAAAAGGCCGGCTAAGGAGCTATATACAGTATGTGCATAATTCCTGTTGCATCTTGTTTTTTCCATTAAACCTAGAAACGGTCGACCTGTTGCTGAGGGAGCTTGGGGCAACCTCATGTTGACCCCATATCTATCAGCCCCCGTTTATTAATAGGGGGGGGGGTCCCTGGGTTTAGCTTGGAATCATCACTTTTGGAGGGAAACGCCCCCCTATTTATTACCCGGGGTTGCTTAATACTGTGGATGGACAAAATTATGCACCACTTTGAAACCATGGGAAACCATTGTTTGTTGGTATTTGCAGGGGGAATCATCATTCTTGGGTTTCTTGGGTGGTGCGAACATTTCGTCCATCCACAGTATGGGGTCAACATTGTAAATGATGTTCCATCACTTTGCGCCCACGGGCGACGCCGAAGAACCAGACCCGCGAGGCTGTCACACCTACGACGCGCACGGCGCCTTTGTGACGGCCACGTGGCAAGTTAGACCCTCGAACGCGTCTCAAAGCAAATGGACCGGACCTTTTTGCTTTTGCCATTTTGGACCAGCCTTCGATTTCCAAAAGCAAAAGGACTGAGGCATGAAGCAAAAATAAAGGGTTGGCCCTTTTTGCCTCCAAGGTTGCCATTTTGGACCATAGTCCAGATCCCAAAAGGCCGACCATTTTGATTTCCAGGGCCTTGCGAGTGAGACTTCCAGGGTGATTCCCTGAGTTCCTTGAGTCACTGCAATGGGGTTTGGACCAGTGGCAAGCTTTTGCCCAATCCACGCGGGAAGTGTTGGGACGGGTTTCTTTTGAAATTGGGGGCTCCCAACATGGCGGTCTCCGCCTGTCGTTTCTCGTTAAACCTACCCAGCCGCAAAAACACACATAATGCTAAGCTCAATAACACGAGGGGCAACTGTGTCAGGCGATGGTCCCACTGCCGTCGGCGGGAGAGCAACATCAACACCTAGTCACGGCGGGCGGCGACGATCATGCAATCTTGCCACCCGACCTGAGAGCAGAGTTTATGTGCCAGGAATGGATGAGCCACTTGTTTTTGTTGTCATGATTAGCTTTGCAAAGTCAAGTGTCCAAGTGCGTGTTTGAGGGGAATAGACGTAACAGATCTATATGTATATATATATATATATAATATACATACGCATTCTTCTTGCAGCACCTTGATCAAGACCAACTAAGGGAAACTCAGAGCGCTGCAGTTCTGGCCGACTCATGCTGACAATTCTTCGGCATGGGCTAAGCAAGTCAGGGTTCTCAATTTTAATATCCTTCAAAATCATCGGGTGGACTTCAATCCCCATGAAAATTGACCCCACAAAGTGCGTGGTTTCCTTTTTGTTTTCCCTTCATAAACCCAAACACCAAGTTCCCCAAAAAGAGACACGGTGGATTCGAAACAATGGATGGATTCCTGTTGGTTTCCCATGAATCAAGTTCCCTTTGTGGGGGACCACAGGGAACATGATCAAACTAGCCCAGTGCTTCCAGAAGTTTCGCTACTATAGCAGGGAAGCAGGGAAAACCATCCATGTTAGGACCTAGAGGTGAGACACCTCGAGTTACCTCCCTACGCGGCTGGCAAGGGTTCCAACCTTTTTTTAGTTTTGAGAGAAACCCTTTTTCCAAAATACGGTCAAGTGCCATTGCAGTAACTAGTCAAAGGGTGCCCACAAAACATGGAATCCAGCAATCAAAGAGGGTTTCGAATATGTTTCTTGCCGGGTCACAGACAAACCAGTTTGAGGTTTGGTCAGCATATCCAGTACATTTGTGAAAGCTGCGCGAAACTGGGAGGTTGAGCTCCAAATTGTCCAACAGTCAGAAGGAGAACTTACTACTGTTCCACTCTCCACAGCGCTTACCGCAGTTGATCATGCTTTGTGGTTGCATGTGGTTGGTTCACTTGCAATATTCGGGCACCACCGTACCACCCACCCCCAAACACATTGCCAGTTTCCAAGTCTTTCCCAGAACACCCGGCGTCTCAGGCAATGGCGACTGGCCGGTCCAGCACTCCACCCCGACCCCTCTGCGCGCACTCGAGCCTGGCATGACGAGCACATGGAGGAGCCCAAGTGCTAGCCGATGTCCAACCTCACTGGGTGCGATCAGTAGCCCAAATATATGGCCATGAATATTAAAGGGGAACCATCTCAAAAGTGATTGGTGGATATGAATCCCCACCTAAATGCCCATATTTAATTTGCCCAAAGGGACACCACACTGGGGCATGGCTAATTTAGTTAGTTTTGCCAGACCCTTTGCTTGGCACCCAAACCCGAAATCAATCATTTGGGTGCGTGTTGTTTGGATGGTGCCCTTGCAGGGTAGGTTTACAGGGGGAACCAAAAGGAAAGCCGAAGCCATTCTTTCAACAGCAGCCACGGGGGAGGATCTGCTTTTGGGATGGGTTCCGTGGTGATTTGCAGAACTTCGCAGAGTACTGTTGATGGCACATGGCTCTTTCTTGCCCACTCAAACCCTCACTGACTGGTCAGCGTTCGACAAGGGTGGCTATGGCACCCGTTTTGGGGTGGTTTCAAAGTGGAGCAAAAGGCAAACCAACAGATTTTGAGGGTCCCGCATTTTGAATCATACCCGTCAGGATGGTGTTTTATGAGGGTCTCACTAGCAACAAGTCCAGGGATTAGAGCTTCGTTTGAGCATTTCCTCGTAGGACTGGTTTAAACATCAGCTTTTCGACCAGCACAAAATGTGAGATTCCTTGTGAGTTTAGAGTGGAAAGAGACCCCTGGTTTAGTTGAACACAGACCCTGGGAAACCACAACAGCAGGGAACCCGTGGCCATTTTCCTTTCGGTTTTTCCAGGCTTCCCTTGCTTGTTATACAGGGGAATGAAATCACTGGGTGACCCCCACACCCTTAATACCCACTTTGCTTCAGAGGGTATGATATCAACCCTTGACTAAAACAGGAGGGGCTCACGAGCAGAGAGGAAGGGGCCGCCTGTGGGGAACCTCCAAAATTGAGAATCTGACCCCGGAGAACCCGGATTCCCCACATAAAGTCATATCAACCCTTGACTAAAGCAGGTACCCCGGAAAACTTCGGGATTTCCGCAGGGGTCGTTGGTCGTTTTCCTCCCCTCAGGAGCCCAAACCGGTGCAGCTCCTGCGCCCCTCGGAGGCGAGGCATGGTGCGCGAAATGTCGCCGCGGCCTTGGCCTCGCAAAGGCGCGCGGGGTTTGGGCGTGGGTTTGGGCGGAGGGGCGGGCGGTTTGGCGTGTATTTGTTTTACGTGCTTTGAGGTGTTTTTTGATTGTGGTGCTTGTGTTTGGTGTGCTTTGTTGGCTTCTTTGCGTGCCTTGGCTTTTGTTTCGTTGGTCCTTTGGCTTCCAAGGTTTTGGCATTTGGGCTTGGAAGCAGGGAAAACTGTCTGCTGTAAAAAAAAGAGGTTGGCTTCGGTTTTGGGGTTTAACGTCCAAAGAATCCGAGGGAGTTATCCCACAGGTTTGACGGCTGAGAGGGGGATTCCATTGCTCCGTGCGGTTGCTTCGAGCTAACAACACAGAACCTTAGTTCAGGTTGCCCTTAGTTCGTGATTTGGATTGGTTTGGATTTGGATTGAAACGTTTGGAAACAGGGGAGGGAGCTTCCCGTAGCATCGAAACCACCTGGCCCCAAACCAGTTTTGGGAACCTCCAAAAGTGGCAGTTTCCCTTTCGAGGCTCGCGGTTTAAATCAGTTTCAAAAAGTCTGCGGAGCGCCCCAATTTCGGGCCAGTCTGAGAGTCAACCTTCCAAAGTGATGCACGGCCCATGCCAATGATCTCATCTCCGGTTTGCGAAGCAAATTCATTTATTTGGTCTAAGTTCTCGCTTTCCAATACCCGTGGAGGTTACCATGTTGAGACATTGATTCGGGGGAGTTAGACTCAGGATACAACATCGGGCCAAGGTGGTGACTTTGACCAGGTTGAAATTCGGATCCGGCAAAGCGATCGGTGGTTTTACTTCCATTTGGTGAAGACTATGTGCACTTTTGGCAATTGTCGGTTTTCCAGGGAAACTATCACTACTGGAAATAGGTTCTCATACTTTTCTGGGGGACTTGAGCAAATGGAAGTTTAGGATGTATCATTCTAGAAAGACCCTGAGAGAAAATCCAGAGGGAGTGCGGAGCACTACAAGCAGCCCATGCTTCGCAGGAAAGCGGGGTGCAGAGACCACATGACTGTCCTTTTTGGCTGTTTTGGTAGAAACATAGATGGCGATTCCTGGTTTACCTGGTGGTTTAATCATCTACCAGGGCCATCTATTTCCCCTAAAAGGACACCTATGCACAAGATCTTTCCCAAGAAAACTACAATCATTGCACCGGATCGAACAGCTGATTCTCTTCGGCAGCTGCTGGTTCTGCCGATGCCAGCGGCGCTTCGAGATGTTGATTTACTCGTAGTTGGTTCAGCTCGCTCGCGTGGGAAAAAGATCTTATGCAGTACCCATGAAGGATTTCTTGCTTGGGGAGTCCTCAATTCCAGCAGGCCAAGTTTCTATACTTCAGCAACTTTCATAGCTGCCAGTCACAGAGCCGGCAAGGAGTAGCTGAGCCACAATCAGAACCTGGGTGGATGAAGGGTAGTAAGGGGCAGTCCCGGCCGGAAATATTTGCGGCCGCCTTTCTAATTATTTACATGGTCCTGGGTTCACCATTTTTGTACTAGGTTTTGATTGTGACTCATGTGAAGTTGGTGAAGCACAGAAACTTGCTCAGAATCTGTCGGGTCCCCCTTCACCGAGGGTCCTCAACGCCAGGCCGCCATGGGAGTTGGATGAGAGGCCGAATGAGGGCGCGCGCCCAGCGCGGAGCAAGAGCAAGGGATCAACACCAGGCGAGGGCGTGGGGGTCCGGGGGTAGCTGGGCATAAAGAATGTTGACATTTGACGTAAACCCGTTGTGGAGGAGGAGGTCCCCTTTTTCACGGTTGGATGCCTTTCTTCCATGAAGGGCCCTGCGTTTATAACTGAGGGAGGGTTATTAGTCTGTCAACATTAACCCGGAGGAGCCTATTAGTCGCTACACCCTTTACACGCCTCAGATGAACAAACCACTTGGCTGGTTGCATGCCCCTCGTTACATACCCTTTTTCATGCGCAGACTCTTAGTATTTCTCATTGGTGCCTGCAGCACCGACTCTTGCAGAGCATGCTTGTGCTGAAGAGCCAACTTGCAGAGAGCTTTCCTTTCATCTGAAAAGTTGGAACAGGTGCCGTTACACACCTCGTTACATAGCACTTACAGACCCAACCCCAGCCCGGGCCAGCGCCCCCCTTTTTGCTGCAGCTTGGCTTGCGTTGAATAGCTGCAATCAAGCTGGAGCTGCGGAGGCGCGCTTTGCGTACTGCGCTCTGCTTTGACCTCGTTGCAGACCTGGTTAGATAGCCGTCGCGTGCCTTGCCCAGCCCAGGCCAGTGACCCCCTTTTTTGCCATCGCTTGGCTTTGTGTCAAGCTGAAGCTGCGGGGGCGTGCTTTGCGTACTGCGCTTGCGTTCTGCGCTACATTGTGCTACTGATACTGGAACTTGTCAAGAAGTGTTTTCCCGCTACAGGCCTGCGTTACAAGGACCTCCGTTGCAGACCTCCATATCAAGATGCGTGGCGCGTCGCGCGTTACACACCCTCAAAACAATTCATAGCCAGATAGCAACGTGCCATTTTGAGGGTTCCCATTTTCGAGGAACCGGTGTTTTGTTTTTACTAGCCCCACTGACGGCCGCATCCCCAGCATCTCCGGTTACTTGGTGTCAAGGCTGCGTATTGGCCAGAGTTTCTCGGCCGCATCCCCAGCATCACAGGCCCCGCTCTGGCGGCAGTTCAGAGTTGCTTGGGTTTGTGTGGGATTCATTTCGGCCCGGCAAATGGCTGATATCCAGGATGCTGTAGGTTGACTTTGAGTCAGCTAGAATTGGCTTGGAGCTAGGGTTTTTGGGCTGCTTCAGGGCGTGGTTGCGCGAGGTTTGGGCTAGTTTTGGTGGCTTGGGGCAACGCCCCACAACGCCCGGAAACAGCTTGGAAGGCATTGTTTCAATCTGTTTGATCAGATATAGGGCCAGGTCAGAACACTTCTCAGGAACCGCCAAGAGCCATGAGAACCCTTCTATTGGGAAAGGAGAGAAGATATCCGATCACTTGGACAGTCGAGTCATGCTCCGCTCAGCTTCGCGGCAGGGTTGCGCAAATACTGAAGCGGCCCCCATGGTTGGTGTCCTTTTGCCACATAAAGTGCGGGCTTCCAAGTGCTTGGTTTATCTTTCGCATCATCCAATCACCCCTTCCATTGTTTTCTCTCTTGGTTCCCCTGCCAAGATCTTGTGTGGACTGTGAAGCTTTGGACCCAAAGCTGCATTTAAAGGGTCCAACAAGGCCGGTGCCACCTTTCAAAGGGTATGGGTTTGTCTTTTGTTGAGGGGCCCCGGAAATCTGTGTGGTTTGCCTTTGGTTTCCCTTGGCTAGATTGCCCCCAACAAGGGCACCCTTAAAGAAAGACGCGCATGGAACCTAAAAAAGCGGTCCTCCAAAAGAATATTCCTGTACAAATCAAGGCTTTTGAGGTTCCATTCTAAGCTGCCGGAGTCTATACCTAAAAAGGCCTCGAATTTTGCTCCCAAACCAAACAAAAACCGCCAGGTGCCTGGGTGCAGCACGGGAATCCCGCCGCGCCCTACGCGGAGCATCCGGAGATCACTGAGCGCAGGTCGCCAGGCGCAGGTTTCAACGGGACGCCAAGCGGTTGGAGGTGGTATGGTTCAAGGTGGCACGGTAGGGATATTGATAGGTGAAATCAAACATCAATGTGGGATTTCAAGGGATATGATTTGCTGGACCTCACCCACTTTGGCGTGTTGCCCCATAGAAGCATAGAAATCAGGGGAAACTATCCATGTGAACATCCTGGGATACCTACTATAGTGGCAACCAGCAGCACTGGAAACCATGTTGGCCCAGGATTCACTTCGCTTGTTCGTCAGACTTTGCGGGGACTTGCGCTCGGGATTTATGCCTACCCCACTGGCAGTCCAACTTTTAGCCAGTGAACAATGAAACGTGTGCGGACCCGTTTTTGCCCTGCCCTTTCGGGTTTCCTACATGTTCCCTTTGTTTCATCAAGCAGACTGTCTCAGGGCAGCTTGGTTTCTCACTCCCCAGGTTCTGCTTTTTGTCGGCCAACCCAGTCTCGGAGATAAGGAAATCAATAGGAAGCCGAATTCACTATTTGTTACCCAAGGTGAACCCCCTGGTTGCTGAATAGGGCAGTGTTTTCTGGCCTCTCTGCTGGGGGAAACATCTCCCTGTACATCCGCAATGTTTATTCTTCCAGGCATTCGTGTGTTGGCTGCTGTTGCTCCTGATGGCAAGGGCCAGGCCCTGAACAAAGAACATCAAAGGATCACTCAAGCTCATCGAGGACCATTTTTAGTAGCAATTAGCAAGTTAAGACGTTTTTTTGCCAGTTTTCTCGTTCCCACGTGAGTATCTCTTCGCCCCTTTTGATCCGGTTTTGATTCTGCAGTCCGCTTTGCCGCAGGGCGGGCGCCGGGCTCAACACGAGCGGCCTCCGGTGGCAGCTTGAAGCCGTTGGTGGGACTCGGGGATCCCCTAAACTACTGGGGAAACCGCAGAAACCATGTCAAACACTTGTTCAACAAAGCTAATTCATAGCGGTGTGTTGCAATTGTCAGGGGGACCGTCACTCGTTCAGACGTTGTGGCTTCGGGTGGATGTCCTCGAAAAGATGACCCCACAAAATGGGATCCCTCCGCAAGTCTCCACAATGTAGGGCTGTCAGCTGAAGTGGGGATGGTGTATTGGATGGCACTTGGGCCTGCTTTGGATTGGTTAGGGGCCTTGCAAACCACCGAAGTTCGCCCACAACTCACGCAACCACAGCCTTGAAGCAGGCCTAGCACAAATCAACTCAACCTCAAGCGAACCCAAACCCGCCCAAATCAACCTTAACCCTACCAGCCTGGATGTTGGCCCTTTGCCGAAGATCTCAGCCTAAATCTCACCCCAAACCAACCGGAAGCACCAGATAGGGATTTTCCCTCTTAGTTTTCATTGGCCATCCTTGGCAGGTGCTACCTGGTCAGATCTTTGACCTTCCACTGTTTAGGAAAATGTGCGTGTTCCCACAGCAACAATAGCTTAAACTTTCTGAGCAACCGCCACCAAGAATTGGGTTTCCGGTCAAGCGCCAGCTGATCAATGCTTGGCTCGTCGAAGCGGCCTGTTTCTCAAGGGGTTCCTGCAATGGCAATCGTATCCTTTTGCAATGAAATACCAGCCAACAATTGTTGTTTTGCTTGTTTGGTTACGGTTTCCTGTCGGCTTGCACAAGTGTTGTTTCCCTTGCGGTTAAATACCAAGAAACACCACGGGCCCAGTGGGAGGGGAACGGGGGAGGGAGCCCAAATTGCCTGAATTGGGCTCCCTTCCCCCTCCCCTCCCTTGTCCCTCCCTCGCCCCTGGAAAAAGCAGGTCCACCGTTTGGTTGGGGTCTCCTTTTTGGAAGGTACCTTGCTGTGGTTTCTTGTTGGGGAACCAGCTGAAAAACCGTCTGGCCATTTCCTGGGTCCGACACACTCAAATGATGGCTCAAAGGGAACTTCCTCCCAACGAAAATAGGTTCAGGACCCCCAAAATCTTTAGATGCCTTCCCCCCCACAAGAATAACAGCCCCCCTGCAACAAAGAGCATCATGAATGAATAAACAGGTCCACCAAGCCGCTTCAACAGCCCAGCGACTTCCAGGCGTGGCCGGCCGCAGCACTGAGCAGCTCGGCGCGGCCGGCGCCAGCCGCCGGGCTGCCAGCGCTTCGGTTTCGGCTTCGGCCGGGCCGGGCGCTGGAGTGGCCACGGGCGCCGCCTGGACGGAGAATCAGAAGCTGCGTCCATCTGGCTGTGGGTCAAAAATGCGTACCCAAAATGGAACCCTGATCAATGGAGCCCAAGACTAAAAACCTGCGGTGGGTTTATTTTGACCCATACCCATTTGGCTGTGGCTGACAAACATCTACCAAAATGACACCTTGGCAGGTGGAACCAACGACAAACATCTGCGTAACCCTAGCTTTGTAATTTCGAGCCACACCCATTTGCTGAAGAAGAGGGGGGAACTCACATCCCCAAAGTTTCGAAATTCGGACTTTAGTCACTTTTGGGGTTTGGTTGCCATGTTTTATTCTAAGAGTTTTAGACTTTGGTTGGCCAATCCTCTCAGAAATGAGGGAGGCCCCCCCTATGTCCAGGGATCTTTCTCTTCAGGAAACGTCTTAACAACCCAGGGAAAAACAGCGATCGGTTTTTGAAAGAACGCTGGTTGAAACAATGGGGAATCAACCACTAGAAAGAATACGTTTAATTCGCTCCTGTTGGTTTTAAAGGGAATTTATGACTGCTAGAAATATATGATCTTTTTTTTCAGGAGACTTAAGACAAACGGAGGGTTGGTCTCCTGGATGTGTGTATGTTTGGAGTTGGTACCCTCAATTGGGGGCACCAAAAGGAAAACCACCAAACATATAGGTTCCCCCTATTTCGACACGTCCTGTACCCTGATCCAGCTTGTTGTTTGACCTCCATGTTTTACCTTTTATGAGCCAAAAGACAGGTGTGTCGAACAAAACGGAGTCCCCCAGTTCTAGGGTAATCATTTTCAGTCTGGGGGGTATCCAAATTACTTGGGAGTGACTTAATTGAAATAAAACAGGCCCAGTATTCAGTTTGGTCAAACATGCACTGCGCTGGTTTCAATTTGTCCTAATAGTTTACTAGAGATTTGTTCAAAAGGACATGAAGGGAGCTTTCTTCCAAGATAGGCATTTTGCTATCTCCACTCTGAGCATTCAGCTGTTTGTTTTTTCCTATGGCAGGAAAGCCACCAATCCAGTGAACGCACGAAGTCCGGCAAATCTCCACCTACCCTGCCCCAGCCACCCAAACATCACCCAACTCAAGGTGCATGCTTTTTCAGGGTACCCCTTTTGGGGTTGGGTGACAGGGAACCCAAAAGGAAAACCACAGTTTTGTTTTGGGGGGGTTTCCCATTTACCCATCAGGCTACACATCACATGCAAGTCTCCGGCCTTTCTGGAAACTGGTATCTGGCGGAAATGTCCGAAGGGTCACCCACGGTTGCTTCCCAGTTGTTATTCTAATTCTAGCCAAAACAATGCTTTCCTATGAATCGTAATGCGGACACCCTCGAAATGCTTGGTAAACCCAATCCAGCCAACTAAATGATGTCCAAAGGGTCCCCATAATCATCTATTCACATATACGCATATGTCTACATATACATAGTAGCTGTGGGGTTGAGATGACCGATCGGTTTGCAGGTGCGTGAAGAGCGGAGGACCTTCAAGCAGAAGGGCCTCTTCAGTGGTAGGCCTGAACAAGAACCATCAGCTCGTTGGGCTTTTGGGTTGGCCCTCATTTTCTTGAGGCGCTGTTCGATTTCTCACTCCCTGAGTTCCGTTTCGGACTGAAGAGTCGCTTTGTAGGGACTTTGTTTCGCCAGTCTCGACCGGAAGTGCGGTTTCTTTAAGTGCTTTGGACGGTTCCTTGGGCGTGGCTGGATTTAAGACAATACTCAGCAACAAAATGGCAAGGGATCAATGTTTCACTACTTGCCTGTTTAGTTTCCAAATTATACGCCACAACAATTGAGCAGGTCAGTCACATCACACGTTGAAACCGGTGTTTGAACACTTGTTGCAGTTTCCCTTGTACTGTTCTTCCAAGGATTCACGAACCCTTGATTGAAGGGAAGGGAGTATTGCGTTTAAGACGGCATCTTTCATTCGTTTGAGGGAACCGCTGTTTTTTTCTTGGTAGACATCACAATAGCTGTTTGTATTAGTGGGTTTCCTCATTTCGGACTCTCCACCAAACAAGTGCGTGAGAAAGTAATGACTTTCAATCAAGCAACACCCTGGTTCCATCCGGCTCTTTTGTTCTAAATTCACACCTTTCGAATTGACCTGGCGTTTTTCTTTTTGGATTCACGCCTGGGGCCGGAAACAAGGCTTGCTTGCGGACCTGGTGATCTTTTGGTTGGATTCATGCCCCCGAGCAAGCCTTGTTTCCGGCCGCAGGCAGTAATTCAAAAGAACAAATCATCGCTGGGGCTCCAAGAATATGATTTCAATATGGGGGAACTCAAATTGTCAACACCGCAGCCTTGTTTGAGAACCCGCTCCCATGAATCTGCGAGGTTGCCGGTGCTGACCTCGCTATTGCAAAAACACAGTTTCTCGGAGCTTCTCTCTTAGGCGGTTGCAACACATTCTGAGAATAATTGTCGTTGCATCAACTCTTCATCGAGGTGCCACTTGGAATTAAAAGTGTTGGTTCAGCAAATCGTCATTGCGGTTTCAGCTAAGACCCGCCTCTGACCTTTTGGGTGTTTCCTGATGCGGTGTTGCGTGAACAGTTGCTCGTCTTTGGCTTCCTTTAAACGGTACCCTAAACAAAACGCGCGCGCCCAGACAAAAACACAAACACCCAAACACACAAAAAACAAGCAAGCAAGCAAGAAAGCAATCAACCAAGCAACCAAACGAACAAAGGGCGAGCAATCAAACAAACAAAAACAGGGCAAGCAAGCAAGCAGGCAAGCAGGCAAACAAGCAAGCAAGCAAGCAGACAAACACACACACACACAGGGATCTTTTGACCATGTTGTTATTGCGTCTTTGCTCCACTTGGCTGTCTCCGTATTTTAAGGCTGCCCATTTTGGGCTCCGTTTATCGGACAATCCGACCAGAAAAAAACAACATCCAAACGAAATCCATTTTCAGGGCTCCTGATCCCCTATCTCGAGACACACCCGGGACCCAAACCCAGGGCTTCCCACGAGCCACACCTGCTCCCCTTTTTGGTTGGTTTTAAGGGGAAACCAAGCGGAAAACCACTTCTTTTGGGGGGGAGGTCCTTAAAAAAAGACACCCGTAGGTGGGTCTGCCTCAACATAATCATGCCTGTTTTTTTTGGACTGTTATTTCAAACAAACCCTTTTTTGAGGGGAACCGTTTACCTCTACCATCGATGCTTATTTTTGGGGCTTCCCTGCTAGTTGCGAGATGACTCTAGGTCTAGCTGCACATTGAGTTTTGATTTTTGTTTCGTTCCATGGAATCGAGCAACGGTCTTTGAGCTTGGCCATGCTCGCGCAATGTTCGGTGGTTTTGCTTTTGGGTTGGAGCCTGTTTTTTAATACTCCTAGCGT